ACTTCTAGTTTGAAGTCATTAAGCCTGATATTCTTCACCACATCGTTGTACAGCTTAAAAGCGTTTGCAACCCCAGCCACTTTATGGATGTTGCTTTCGAGATGTTCCTCGTCGTTGATGTTATGAGAATTTGCAATTGGCCAGGTGACTAAGTGGCGCACGACTTGTCTGTACTTGTCTTAGCGAGGCAATGGAAATTCACATATTCCAGATTTCACTAATAGCAAGCAAAATTACTTGCTATCCCCTATTCTCCCTTTCCTACAGCCTTCTAGGCCTCTAAGTGGCAGTTTCCTGTCTTCGCGTTACAAGTGCTTTGAAGCTGTTTCTATATCGCTAAGAGGGAGCAGACAGGCAGAGCACCACCCTGTCGACTACTCTTCTCATTCACCAACATAATACGCTTTTGAAGTTGTCTCTCAGCTTTGGCTTCCGAAAAGTGCACCTCGTGAGACATCTTGACGCGCATGCGCGTCAAGCCGGCTGCGCCCGCCAAAGCGCTCATGCCCCACGCGGCCGAAAAATCCAAAACGCGCGCTGTCGTCAATGGGTTAAGTTTGTGCCCCAATAATAGGCGCAGGAGTCGTTGGAATCATCGCGCATTTCGCCGCACAACTTGCCGCGCGCACCGGAATCGCACGAATCGCACGTCCCCCAGAGCAGGAATTGTAAGATACGGTAGTTTCCTGTACGCAATTGCACAATATGACTTGAGGTAATTATAAAAAATCTGCTCTGTCCGCGGATTTTGCGCGCGCATTCAAATGAGTATAATAATTTGTAATAGCAATGTATCACCTCAAGTGGAATGAAAGCATCCATTTCCTATCACTCCTAACGAGTTTGAGTACGACAGGCTTGTGAGGCAGATGGTTCCCGAGTGTTGTCGAGTGTTCACACTTCTCTCATATACTTATATACTTGCTTTTGCTAAGCGTTGGGAACGGTCAACCGGCCCACGCTCCTATCTCTTTCTCACAATAAACGTTCTGAACCACCTTTGTCTTATTGCTTTCAAAAGGGTAAATCACCCAGTCTTCACGCACCCATCCTGGTTACCGAGGGTGATGCAAGAGTTACTCTCAGCATTTAATTTACTCCCGATCAGCATGAGTCGTGAGATGTTCTAGAAGTATAATATTGCTGAATGAGTCTTGAGAAGCAACATACAATTAGAATCAATTTAAACTACCTGCGAGCTGTACGCGAATCAGCTGATACAATTGTTGGTCCCACATGGATTGCCTGCAACGATAAATAGTGGAGACAGTTTTGCCTAGCTGTAAGTTCTGCTTTACTTCTCGGAATTACCCTTTTGCCTTCCGCATGGTCAAACAACTTAATGTGGCATTAATATTGTTTACTGCTTTACTCCTCGAACGAGTAACTTGTCGAACCCTCACCGAAGAGGAGTGGAATGTATTGCAAAGTGAGTTTTTATATTTTTTAGATTTTTTTGCTTCTTCTAATTTATGTGCGCTTTTCAGCGACATATCTTCTACCAAACAGCACCATAGTGCTACACACTTTTGTGTTCATAGTTGTGATTCTTCTTCTACTTTATCCTCCGGATGCTTTTGTCGGTGAGCGGTCATTATTTAGTAAATATTACTCATTGAAATACGGAATTATTGTCCAAATCCAGAATCCATGCTTTTATTTTGTCTGGAACACCCTTTGGTATATTCAAATCAATAAATTAACACCTCTAGCTTACCTGACTTTACTCAAGAAACCTCCTTTGAGAGTGACGTCTTGCCCTAGTGGCACGTCATGACCGTTTGTCTGTCTTCGGTAGAGTAATCCTACCACGTTATTCTCAACAGCTAAGGTTGAGAACTATATGGACAGTTGACCAGTGTCATTTTAGTCAGATAAGTAACTTTGAGTTTTTCGAAACTTACAGTCACTACCGCAGGTGGCTAAATTTGGCAGGAGACCAATTTCAGCTCAATGGAAGGTTGTAGTGTTCAACTCCTTCCTTTATTGTGAAAGTATATTAAGATTTATCGCGTTCATGAATGTGTGGGACTAATTACACGTGCAAGTCTGTTCGGCCACTCCCGAAAAATTCCGAGTGTCCCATTAAATTGCTTCGAGTGAACTGGGTTAGTTTATCAATCAAGCGAAATAAAGGTTGGTGCACTGCTGTTGTGCATTTTTGATCAGCCACGCCCAGCTGTCCTCGATGGGCAGGCCAACTGTTGCCACTCGCCAAGGATAACTAAATATCGTTATAATGTCAAATTTGAAATTTTATGTTTACATGGCTGTTATTTAATCGAAAAACATAACAGATCTTGAAAAAAATTTTTCGGCTTTTTGAAAAGTGTTTGCGTAGCGTATAAATCATCCCTCAGTTCTTTTAATGAATTCTTTTAGGAGCTGGTTTCACCTTTGACAATCTTGCCTTTGGATATCTGGGGTCACCAGAGGTGAACATTTTAGAATTCCAATGTAGGCGCTTTGTTCTTACACGTGCTTTCACGGCCTGTCTCCCGTACAGTGAGTATTTTCTTTTTTCTCTTGTTAAAGTCTTACTATTACTAGTTATCATACCTTTTCAATTTACTCGAGTCAGGTACTGGTAACTCGTTCTTTCAGTGCTCATTTTAAGTCTGTATTTCACCAAAGACCATGCGATTTTGTTCACTCCACATCCTACCCGAGTTATTCACTACGTAGCTTTGATATCTCCTGTTATTGCCTTTGGTGAGTTCTCATTATTTTTCATTATTTTCGATGTTCACTGTTAATCGGGGAAGCCTCCCCACCTATATGTATCTCTACAAAGCCCCATTCAATTTCATATCAGTGGTATCGAAATTTGGCTTTTGACTACGGCGCTCGGTCAAAACTCAGCAAGCTCGTCCTAACTCGTTGTTTTTGTTACATTTCGATGTTTCACATTTATTGAAAGATCATTTTCCCTTGCCTGTCCTCATGGCTCAGTTTGTTTTGATATCAGCGGCATCGGAATTCTGCCTGTGTGGAATGGTCGGATAGCGTAAAGCGGGAAAAACTGAGGAGTGATTTGCCGAGGAGTTCACTACTCTACTGGATAGAGCAGGTCCTGCTATTCCCTGGGCTTTAGACAGAGCTCTTCCGCGTTCTAGTTGTGCTTTATGGCATGTAACTCATTAGTAAAGCACCATTTGTTGCCCCGTCATTCTCAGAAATAGTTGTGCCATGTACATTTGTTTTTCTGGATTCGGCTGACTTAGCTTTAGAATCGGGTAGACAAGGTGGACAGGTAAAGCATCAGTAGTAAGTATTGATAATGATTTGGATGATTTAAAGCAATGTCAAACTGCAGCGAACACAAAGGTTTCCTCGGTTTGACATTAGAGCTTGCAGTTTCTGTATAACTTGTTCTGTGAGGTAGGTTGTTTTGAACTTCTTCCAAGGTCCTATTTTGCAGTTGCGGTCACCTACGTCGTCTATCATACTATGACACGTTTCTGTCATTTACTTGCTATACGTAAATTAAAGGATTACGGTTATGACACACAACAGGTCTTCACTTCCCTCTCAAGTGAATTCGTCCGTATTGATGCTTTTCGACACGCGATTTCGAGTAAGTTCTTCATTTTATCGGAGTATTTCAGATGTATAGATATTCCCTGTGAATTCAGATGTCAGCAAGATCATCATAACCGATTCTTGCCTGTTCTACTGCTCAAGATTTCAATTTGTGGTGGCAAAGCTGGCGGATGTGCAATTTCATGTGGTTCAGGCTGAAGATACTATTGTGAGTGGTTTTTCTCATAGCCCAATAAGAATTTTCTTTTACTAGGAGACTTACTAGATATTCCATTTGTATATTGGATTCGTATCTGTCTACTTGAGTTGATTAGGTCTATTGTAGTTGAGCTGATTATGGGCTGAAAATCTGAATACCCGTGCCGGCCTTCTGTGGTTATCTTTCAGGGGATACATTCTTTAATGAAGCATGAACAGCATTACATTTCCTTTCCTTCTTTGGTCATTGCTACTGAAAAGGGCTTAGAAAGTGCCTTTTGCAAGGGTTACCCCTAATTGGTTATATTGATCATGTGACCAATCACAAACCCGCGAGGGACGAGCCCTTCCAGTGGTGCAAGTATGCAGTATAACTACTTTAGCGCTTTACCGTACTTCCTAGTTACTTGTAATCACGGAATGCCGGTATGACTCTGAAACTACAGATGAATGAGATCGTTGGTGAAGCTGAATGCTTCTTTACTTTTTTTGAAGGGAAACTTGAACTAATTCTCGTTCTTCAGAATCGTCTTCATCAGGCTATGGGAATGAATCAATATCTTACTGTTGCTGTGACATTACCTGCTGATATCCAGCACTTAAACTTTGAGTTCAAGTAAGCAGTCATTACTAGTCATTTTTTTGTGGTAGCAGCGGTACTGACGTGTAGAAAATGGACGTTCAGGATTGACAATGTGTCGATGCGTGATCTAGAAACAAAATTGGGTCCTGGACGAATCGAATTTTCACAAGAGGTCAGATTGAAGATGTCGTTGACCGAGAAGTTCATACAAGTAGGTTACTTTTCATTAATTTCCTGTCAATTCGACTGTTTTATTAATGTGTGCTGTTGTGACGGCAAAATTTTGTTTTACTGGACATTCCGGGAACCTTACTTGATGCCGTTTTATGGCAGTTTTTTTGACACATGCCTACCAGGTAAAGATAGCACAGTAAGAACTCCCTCGTCTTATATCAGAGGATTCTACCTATAAGCTGTTCTTGCTCAAAATGGTTCTGCAGATTCAGCGAGCAAGTAAAAGAAGCATATTTTTGCGTTGAACACTCGTTCAATATGGTGCTAAAGTTCAGCTCTCCCAGTTTTTTGTTACTGTTAGTTTGTAAACTAAGTGACTGCATTTAATTAAACCTTCAAGCATCACAATTACTTAGTTACCAATCTAAATTTTTATAATTTTATCTATAATTCTCAGCTCTTAAAATGACAATAGCCAACGGGTGTTTTGTAAGAGCTCATTCTTTTCACATTGTAATAAAGATTTTTTCGATGCTCTGGATTCATAATATTCAATAAAGATGTACAGAAGGTGAAGTGTTACTAACTAGTAAATTTGCAGGCTTTCCTGGATCAAGCCAAGAAGAATCCTCGATTCGACAATTACGTCAAAGAAGTTTGTGTTTGAAGTTACTACGAATCGCGTCTTCAGACTATTTTTTCTTTCAGTTAGCTTAATTTATTAATTATAAATTGTGTATTAAGGAACTCGACCCATGCCTTGGATGCTCTGAGAAATTATCGAATGTAAAACTGTTCAGACAGTGTAATGCTATCGATATAAATTTAGCATTAGGAGCCGAAACGTCAAACTGCGCCGTTTGCCATTGCCGTCCGATGTGGTAAGCTTCTAATCATCTAGGAGGAATACTGTCATAGAGCGTCGTTTATTTATTGTAAAAGTTGGATTTTGAGCAAAAATATTCTCTAGTTTTTAACTGGTTCGTTCAAGGTGCGTGTCGTGTATGGCTCGGATATTCCTCGCCAAGCAGGATCAATCTCGACCGGCTTCGTGGCTTGAAGGGACTTGCCCATGTCCCACTTGCAGGTTTGTAGTTCTTACTTTGTTTCAGGATTACTCGCAAGGTTTAAAACACTCTGTATGTTCGATATGGCAAACCTTCCGAAACTCTGGGGATTCAGTAGATTCAGTGGAAAAAGTGCCTCGGATGATTACTTCTGTAGAAAGCTCGCTAAGTGAAAGAAAACCATTCGTCCACTGGTTGAGGCCCTTAGAGAATTGAAAGGAGGAGTCTTTGGCGTTATCCAATCTCGTTTTTGAGATGCGCCCCCGCATTGCGCCCCCGCATTCGATTCCCAATCAGAATCGTACTGCCCTGTTGACTGCGTATTCGTTCTAACAACAAACTGCGGTTGCCAGATGATGTATAAGTGAGTGCTTCTATCCTTTCAGACAAGTCTGGTACCGAATTCCCGATCCCAGAGTTAAGAAAGGCCTGGTCAACATACGCGATATCGATCCAGGATTCGATCTCGAAACCTTGCTTGCGTTTTAGTTCCCCACTTGTCACCACGGATTCACCTACATGGACCAATATTCTAAGTGCAATGTCTTGAAGTCAGCATTTTTGCTCCCTTGTCTAGATTTCCTTTCCTTGATTGTTACAATGGCTACTTACTGTTTACTTGATTTTGCTGACCGATTGCTTCTTCGTCCGAATTCTCGCAGCGAAAGAATCCCTGTTGAAAATAGATTCCTGACCATTTGGCCGAATGAATGCTTTCTATGCTAAAACATTAACTTACTTGGTGTAATTTCGAATTTTTCCACAAGGATCTGCTAAAACTTGAATTATAGTCAGGATTTGAGACTTCGATGTAGCATTGATCTCATTGTAATCAGGCTTTTTCCTTCAGAGCAGTTTTCTGCATTATGGATGTGGCACTGCTCTCTTATTTCGATGAAGAGAACTCGGACGAGTTGGGGAGTGAAGAAGAGTGAAAATCCATCTGCACGCCTGGTTTCGGTAAAACTTTCCCAGAAAAAAACCCACAAAATTCCTATGTTGCTATATATGCTATGCTATTTTTGTATTTATAAACCTCGTGTCGTTGTTTCACTTCATTTTGCCTTTGAACAAAAGTTACTAGTTACTATATTTATTAGTCGATTAGTTAGAATCAGAATTAGTGCAAATTTCTAAGATAGTCTATTCAACATAATGGACCAAAAAGGAGCATGAAGGTGCTCTGTGTTTTGCATTTTTGAGGGATTGTTCTATGTGATTGTGTATTGCCGCGGGGCGTACTCCGTATATCCTACGGGTTTTGAGCCCATCCGCTGAGTATAAACGTCCAGCGCCGCCTTATTTTTCGAAATCTCTTCAATGTCCATTGAAAGTTAAACGTTACGCATAATTGCCTTTACATATTTGAGCCGGGTTCAGAGTGATATTTAATGTCTTCCAGTGCCTCTGAAATGTCACTTGCCATTTAGCTGCTTTTCTGTTTTGTAATTGCATTACCAGTAATTGTTGATCATTTTAGATTTTAATTCGGTGTATAGCAGTTTTTTGCCTTCTGGTCGTATCAAAAAAGCTTATATAGGTACCTTGTATAGATGTTGTCTGTTTATGTATGGATTAATAAATACTCTTTAAAGGCTATCTAGTGTTGATCATTTTTATTTTGCTCTTACAAAACGATGTAGGATGCTATTCCTCCGGTCGAAAAATTAGGACCTAATGACCAGATTGCCCGCCCCATTACCGGTTTTGTAGTTCATTGTAGTCGTTCCTAACAAGTTCTTCTAAATGGAACTACATTCAAACAAAAGGCATACCTAGGATAACCGGGTGTTTCCGATTGAAATGTTAGGATAAATAACAAAAATTCACAGATCACGAGTTCGAATGCCGGATCGTATCCACGTGGGCAACCAAGCCTTCAGTCTTTCAGGTTGGGTTAAATGGTACCAGATTGGCTGGGAGGATAAAAGCACTGACTTGTACATTGGTTGGCCACCAAAGGTCATCATTGTATAGGCCGCTTCAGTACGCCATTAGGATTCTGAATGAAAGTTAAATGCGAGGGCGCACTACACAGAGGGGATTGATTTACGTTCAAGGACTTTATCCTTTATCCTTTATTATAAAAATTGGCAGACCCGAAGTAGGGGCAGCTGTAGAGCGATGGAATTGTTTGGAAGCGATGAGATGTGTTCAAATAAATAAAAAGCTATACAAACAAAGAATTAGTAAGAACGGTCGTCGAAAATGCAAAAAATCAAATTGATAAATGATAAAACAAATCTAATAAATAAATAAATTAACAAATAGAATAATAAATTTAACTAACTTTATTGATAATGAATTAATAAATCTAATTGGTAAATGGTGTTAAACAGACAGTGAGTAGCCGTAGATTGAACAAAGGAAAAAAGAAAATTCTGTAGCAAAATGTGGTGTTTTTGTCAGCTATTTATTGTTCTAAATTGGTAACAAGAGGGTGCTATAGAATTTTACATTTGGAATCTTTTATCTGCAGCTTCTGCTCCGTGATCTCCTTTCCTTTCATGTTTCACACAACTTTCGGGACAACTCACTATCAGTTCTCCTTCGTAAGTCCTCTATTAGCTTTCAAAAATCTACAGATTTGTTCTCAATTTTCAACTTAGTTAATTTGATTTTAATCATTTTGACTACTCAATGGGGAGTATTTTTGCTGAAAGTTCTTCTCGAACTGTAATGTAGGATCACAGCAGTGTAGGTGTCCGTGGATGAGGTTAACAGGCTACGGCGAGCAATCTCAGGAAGAAGGACAGTAGCCTGTCAAATCTCTTGCTTGCTAAAGCTGTCGTCGAGAACAAGAAGTCATTGAAAACGGAAGTGGCTAATCAGCTCATCTCTGATTACTTCCTGAAAATCTGAATCAGCCGTTCATAGTTTCAATCCGTCGGAATTCTTTTGCAGTGTTGCCTAAAAAGATGACGTATCGGATTGCTAATTCTAAATAGAAAGAAAACCAGCTGATTTGCTAGATCCGTTTATGTCCAGTAGCCCTTATCGAGTACGATGTTCCCCGATTTGTTCAGATTTCTACACTCCCACTTATGTTATCGTTGGCGTATGCGGTATTCCAGGTCGTTTCAAATTCCAGGTCATTCATCCCTCTCGTACCGTGGGAGGGGGGGGGGGGGGGGGGGG